TCTCGATCTCTAATCTTTCCCCTGATCAATCTTACTTGCCAAATGTTCCAGAATTGCCTTATGCTCAGAATCTACATAAATGTACATTTTAAGGCAATTATTAGATACCTACACCTTGTAATTGGATACTAGCAACTTAAACGAACTTATTAAACCCATATTCATAATTTTCCTTTAGGGGGTATCGATTCCCTACTGGGGGTATCGATACCCTCATGACATTCTGGAATTCTGTCGTTTGAGAGGGTATCGGTACCCCTTTGAATGGGTACCGATTCCCCCTAACCCAGAAATCATTTTTCAGCACGAAAATTACTTCATTTCCTCTCAAACACTTCATATATCATCCCCTTTCTTATTCTTAACTTACATATACATGCTTAAACTCATTACTACTCATTCAATACATCTTTAACTTCAAAATCTAATTCTCTATATAGAATTCAAGAATCACACTAATTTTTCTTCTTGTTCTAAATTCAATTCCATCACTTCATATCTCTTAATTCAACCATTGACAAGTCAAATTTATCTTCCAATTTGAGTAAAGAACTCTATTCCAGAATTCCATTCAAAAACTCTTAATCTTTAATCCCTCCTAATTCCACCATCCTTTGTTTTTAAGATGATTTAAGCTTTCCTTAAGCTTAATTATCATCCAATAATCATAACCAAACCTTTAGTTGAACAAATAATCAACTAATGAAGAAACTTACCTTTGCTTATGGCTTCACGGTGGAAAAGAATAGAATGAAGAAGAGAAGTCTGGAACTCTCTCATATTTCCCACGTTTATAATACTCAAAAAGGGAAGATAAAAATCTTTCCCATGAAAAGACCATTTTGCCCCTTTAGTTCATCCATCTTTGCTATTTAATCCAATATTAAAATTCTTTACTTAAATCCCAAGACTTTTAAATTTCATTTCTAAATTGAACACAAAACTTTCAAAATTTGCAATTTAGTCACTGACCATGATTTGGGATGTTACATGTGCATTCCACATTGTATTGCTTTATTAGGTCCCTCGACTACTAAAAGTCATAAAATGGTCCTCCGACTATAAGGGGTTGTTGTCGAGTCCCTTAACTATTAAAAGTTACAAAATGGTCACCCGACTATTCATTATGTTTCAAACCCATCATTTTTCGTTAAAAATTTGACAATTGTCTGAGTTGTACGTTAATATACTGACTGAGATATGATAAAATCTGATCTCATGATCTCAAACGACCATCATATCTCAGTCAACATGTTTACATCCATCTCAGATGAGTTAATTTTCTAACGAAAAAGAACTAGTTTGGAACATAATAAATAGTCGAGTGACAATTTTGTAACTTTCAATAGTCGAAGGGCTCAACAAAGAAACTCCCTATAGTCGAGGGACTATTTTATAATTTTTAATAGTTAAGGGACTCAACAAAACATTATCCTATAGTCAGGGGACCATTTGTGTACTTTACCCAAAAAATACAAAAATTGTCTTCAAAATGAGATCTAATCTAGTTTAACTTGAATTTAATAATGATTCTTGTGATTTAATGAGTGAGATAATGTCAAGTTTTGATTATAATATTTTGTTACCATATTTTATTGTAATGATCTAACTATTTTTAGGAGATTGTTTTATATTGAATGATTTGTTTTGAAGACAATTAAAGATGAAAAATGAAACTTAGGGTTTGAATTGATGTATTATTTGAGGGAGTTTTAATATTTTATATAAATGTAAACTATGCTTTTAGTATCTAAACTATCGGTTTGTTCTGTTTTAGTACCTAAATTTTTATTTTATTTTTAAAATCCTACTTATCGTTTATTCTTTGTTTCATTTTAATACCCAACCGTTAAAAATTCAACTCGTTTAGTACCTAAACTATCAGTTTTGATCCGTTTTAGTACCTAAACTTTAAAAAAAAATCAAAATTTAGCGTTAAATTTTGAATAGGGTACTAAAATGCAATATTAACTTTTAAGAATGAGATTATAAAGAATGAGATTATAGATTTGTGGAGGTATACCTAAATCCATTACTGGATAACGTTTATAAGATTGAAATCTTTTAAGAAGATACATTTTTTTCCTTTGTGTAAAACTTTTTTACTAGATAAAAGAAATACAAATTAACTTATTTATTAAGAATCATTACCTCTCTATGAAATTAAATATTGAATAAGTTTTTAGCTATTTACAATTATATCTCTCATCAAATTATAAATAGAACGAATAATATTTATACTTTATTTTTCATAACACTTTAATATGTATCATACATGTAATATAATTGATCATTTATTTTTGGTAAAAGGGTAACTTTTGTCCATATAGTAGACCCAATTTATCATTTTCGTCCCTATCGCTTTCGCATCAATTTAGCTCTCGAATTTGCTCAATCACGTCATTTTATACTCTACCCCTAACTTAAAATCATAAATTATAAACCTTAAGTTGGAGTTTAGGTTTAGGGTTTATAGCAATAACCCTACACCCTAAACTCTAACTTAGGGTTTATAATTTAAGGCTTTAAGGTAGGGATAGTGTATAAAATGATACAATTATGTAACTTTGAATGTTAAATTAATGTGAAAATATAATAGGAACGAAAGTGATAAATCAGGTATATTACAAGGACAAATGTGACTCGTAAACCTTCTTTTTTATATCATATTTTATAATAATATTATACATATATGTATAAATAAATGTAGAGTTTAGGTCTAAAAGAAAGGTGAAACTTACAAGGGGAAAAAGGAGAAGTTTTTGGGTGAAAATGACGGGGAAGAGTCGGCAAGAAATCGTTTTTGTACCAGCTGATGTCGGATCCTCGAGGTCCACATTGTTTGCTTAATCAATCATGAAACTAAAATAATTATATGACCAGATACATACACTTATATATAGGTTTGTAAATAAATAGAATTAACACGAATAATGATATATTTATGTCTGTTCATTTAGTTTTAATCGAACAAACGAATGAATACGAATGACGAAATAAATAAAAAAAAATTATTCGTGTTCATTCATATTAATTCATTAAAATGACAAACGAACGTAAACATATATAATTAAAAAATATAAAATTAACTAGGTTTATAATTGATAATATTTTTTCTTTTAAAATAATTTTAGGGTTCATAATTTATTTAATTAATTTGGCTATTTTTTATTGGTGCATAAAATTAATTATATTTTAAAATATTAATGTGTTTAAGGTTAAAATTTATTATGTATTAATATTTTAAACATGTTTGGGGATTGAGTTGAACATAAACGAACGAATTATCGAACGTTCGCGAACGCAAATGAACGAATGAGTCTTTTGTTTGTGTTCGTTTATTTAATTAAATGAACTTAAAATCTTATTCATGATCGTTCGTTTAATAAATAAATGGACATAAACGGATTTTCCGTCGAATGGTTCACGAACGGTTCGTTTATTATTCGATTCGTTTACATGCCTACTTACATACAAGGATTGATACAAGATTTTATGTTAAGGGTGATATATTTTTTAAAATTTAGAAAGTGATCAACTTATAAAATTACAGAAGAGAAAACAAATTTCATTAGAGAATTCATAGAGAAAATATAAAAATGATAATTTTAAAATTTCACGGGTGATTGCATGCATCCACCCCTTGATCCATCCCTACTTATATATAATTTCATTAGATCCACTTACACAATATAAGACTCTTTAGTTTTACACAAATTTAAGATTGTTGGATGACTGAAAATAGATTGATGAGATCGACTCCTCATTTTTTTCTAGTAAATATCTTCACATTTCTTACTGTGAAAACAGATGGATAAAATTTACTCCTTGTTTTGTTCATCAAATAATTTTTAGATAAATAATTTATTAAAACTTTATATTTTATAAAATTTATTTTACACAAAATATTTACATGCCACAAAATAATATTAATCAAGTGAAATAACAGTGGGCCACTAGTGGCAAAAACTTTCCAGCTTAGCCTATCAAACAACTGCCCATGATTTCACATGCAATGTCTGGTCCGAAAATTAGGATAAAACCCAATCAGACAATCATGTAATATTGAATGATTCTTTAGTTATCCACAACACAAAAATAGTTCATCGCTCAACTATCATGGTTACACTCATTAACAGTGACGGATTTAAAAATTTAAAAATATAAGTATAAAATTTTAATATAATTTTAAAATTAATGGGTATATATATATATATTATTTTCCTTAACACAATATATTAAATTAATATTTTTTAAATAATGGGATACAATTAACCTCGGGCTTGATATATTCATCCCAAATTGTTAAACAAATTGATAGTTATCTACTATAAACAGACGTCTGTTGTTTTATGTATAAGATGAATATCAATAATTTTTTTCGTAAATCTCATTGATATATATATTTATTATTGGTATAACATATTAGAGTATGATTAAATACATCTAATATTTTATTTCATGAATCTAAAGGTTGATGTAGGCATCAAATATTAGCATGTATCCGTGGACCGTGTCAAATCCTGCAAAAAGAAAGTTATGTATTAATCTCTCATATTACATATGACTAGGTTAAAGGATAAAGTAACATTTAATTTTTAAATTTGACATTTTTAAAAGTATCAGACTGTTCATTATGTTCCAAACTCGTACTTTTATGTTAAAAAATTTTGTCGACAGTCTGAGCTGTACGTTAACTTGTTGACTGAGATATGATAAAATCTGATCTCATAATATCAAACTTCTATCATACTTTAGTTAACATGTTAACGTCAAACTCAGATGACCGTTAATTTTTCAACGAAAAAAGAATGAGTTTGTAACATAATGAATAGTCGAGTGACCATTCTGTAACTTTTAATAGTCGAGAAACTCAATAGAGGAACTCCCTATAGTTGAGGGACCATTTTGTAACTTTTAATAATCAAGAGACTCAATAAAGTAGTGTCTTATAGTCAGGAGACCATTTGTGTACTTTATCCATTGTTTTATCCCTTAAATTAATTAGAATAGCAAATACTATTTTCGAAGGATTCGTACTGTGCGTATTCAACGTTGACTTTGGTATCGATCCTGGAGATAGCGTCGAAGGCTTTGTTAGACAAGCGCAAAGTGGCGCGGCAAGGGTCCTGGGAGCAGAGATCCACTACCTGCACGACTATGGACCTAGCCTTGCACGGCCTCTTCGGGCCACTGATGCACCTCACCCTGTATTTCCTCCCGCATGATGCGCCGTTATCCCATAACCCGTCACTCACCGCCGCAAAGAACTCTCCCGGAGGGAACTGATCTTCGTTGTTCCCGCCGCATCTCGTCGCTTCACGGATTAAATATGAACAAAAATCAGATGATTTATCGAGCTCGAAGGCTTGTCAAAATTTCAATGGATTTACTTTGATTTATATTCTCTTTTATCCGAGCAGTTGATATAACATATATTAAATGAAAATCTTTAATTAATTAACGATCATCTCTTGTTATTAACATGATATTTTTATATGTATTTAATTAATGATATGACACATACTACATCATCATTTTAAATCACATGAAACATCATCATTTTAATGAAATGACATATAATATATCAATAATTAAGTATATGTATAAATGTTACATTAGTAACATACAAATAATGTTAATCAACTAATATCTTATATCCAAAGTAGAATATTTTTTGAAAATTGAAATGTTGTAGGTTAAAATATTAAAAAATAATGACTAAAATAATAATTTAAACAAATAGTAGATATTAATTTATCATTACACGTTTAATTTTCAACATTCGAAGTTTAAACTTAACTCGTTTCGTAATGGAAACCTAATTTAAGTAAGAAAGTGTTTCTACTTACGCATGTACGGAGGATCATAGGAAGCTGCCGTCCCGACATCACCCGAGACGCCGAGCGAGTCGAACACGACGCAACTAAGCACCAAAAACGTTGCCAACATCACTCTCGACCTCATAACTCACCGTCGTCGTCTTAGTTTCCCTAGCTGTATATGCCTGCGTCCTATCTTTTTTCTGGTTAGATTTTACTTGTACGAAACTCCTCTCTTCCAACCCTATTTATACTTTGACATCAAATCATGCAGCACGGTGGAATGAACCAGCCCATCCCGATTCTCTTTTCGTCCACGTGGGCGGTCGTGGGCGGCGGAAAGATCATATCGCAATGCACGAGGGGATGAGGATCTTACATTGTTGGTTTTCCATTAATTATCATGAACGGTAATGGTGGTGACTGGTCAGATGACGAGTGACGTGCGGTTGGGTAGGTTTTGGAAGCTGACGGCTGCTAAAACTGGTTTTTTCAATTATTCTACCGCTGGCACTGCCAATGGAAAAAAGATAATGGATGTCACTTTTTTTCCCCCAAGAGTTCCACACGCTGGATTTGGAACCAGATGACGAAGCAAGCAGCACGAGTAGATCGTACTTTGTATTTAAATATACAGAAAAGGCACCGATGCATGACGTGTGTCTGGGCACACTATGAATAATATGTATTTTATATTCGCAAGTTAAAATGAGAGAGCTATCCAATTACATTATGGTTAATTTTATTATTTTGTTAGTGACGAACAGCACGTGGTGAAGTATAACGAAATGCACCAATTCATTGCTAATGAGATAACTATTCAGCCACTAACTCTAAGATAAGGTGCCAAAGATTAAAATGTTTTATTTATTTGTTTTTACCAAGTATCAGCTAGGCTAGGCCTAAGGACGGGAATGACCTGAACTCGACGGATTTTGACCCATTCTGACTCGACCGGATTGAATTTTTTTAAAAGAATTTTGGGTTCATGTCGGGTCGAATTCGGGTTTAGAATGAAAAATATTCGACTTAATTTGACCTAAAAAATTATTATTTTACCTTATATATTTGAAGATAATTACAATAATATCCTTTTATTTATTATTTCTTTCGATTAAATCCTATTTTTATTGAATAAAAAATAATTTTTTAGTAAATATATTATTTTAGGTCAAGTCGGGTTAAGATTTTATCTCAAAAAATCAGGTCAGATTTAAGTCGGGTGTAAGGAATATAATTTTCGGGTCAAATTATACCACTGGACTTAAATTGATAATGACACAACAACGACTATCAATGACGTGATTGGCAATTACCAAAGTGACCGACGACTATCAACGTAAATACCTCATCGAAACAACGTTGTTTTGAACTAGTTAATAATTTTGCGACTCAATTGAAACGAAAATCAAAATTCAATATTATAATCGATAAAATTGAAAGTTTAATAGTATATAAACGATACAACACCTAAAATTTGATAATATCTAATGTAATTTAGGCGTTTTGATAATATCTAGCGTAATTTATCCTAGAAAGGAATTCGAATTTCACCCCATTCTGCCTGTCTAAATATAGAATTTGACTATATAAAGGAAAGGAAAGGAAATTTATGGGTAAAAAGGCTTATGCAGTTCCAACTTCATAGAAACAAACTGGAAAACACACTATGCTTACCCCTCATTCCCTCACATGTTTTTATTCAAAGAACAGATGTTCAAGAACCCAACAACCTCAAACAGGTTGTTCTCCTTTTTCGCTCCGCACGGTCCAAGCTTTCGTTTAAGAAGAGTTTTTCAGAACCCATTCCACCAGAGTCGAGATGCCGAATCCGGTTGCCACGTGCTTCTTATCGTTCAAGACAGGCCCGGCCATGTCAATGTGCAGCCACTGCACTTTTTCATCAACAAACTGCAACGAAATTTTGCAACATGGTTCAACCGAGGAGATTGCGACATGTGTCTTTATGAGTGTGTAAAGATATACAGACGGTAAAATTCACATACTTATTTCAAGAACAGAGCTGCATTGATAGCGCCACCTTGACGGCCACCAGTATTTACCATATCAGCAACTCCTGATTTCATCGACTCCCAATAGCTTTCCTCCAGTGGCATCCTCCAAAATTTCTCGCCACTCACCTCTGAAGCTTCCAGTACCTCCTTTGCTAGGTCATCACTGGGTGTGAAGACACCTAAAAGAAAAGTTTCCAATGCATTGACAGTGGATAGGTAGTCTTTTGGTATAATCGAGTAACAACCAATGAAAATGATGAATGCAATGGCTTTTTGAACCGACTATGAATACGAAGCACACTTTTCAATGGAAAGGTGTTATATTGAAGTTTTGATTTTGAAAATACAAATGCAGAGTTTCATTCATGTATGTGATAAACATCCATAAAATGATTATAGACTTGCTTCCGAAACTAACCAAAGAAAAGTTCAGAAACTATTTTCCAGGAATTGTAAAATTCATGTCATGTATACCTGCGATTGAGGGTCCAAGAGCAACAACACAAGCCCCAGTTAATGTTGCCAGGTCAACTATCTGCGAAATCAGTTAACAGGTCTTAAAAAAATGCAATTCTGATTATCTATCCAAAATAAGCAATTGAAACTCCAGATTGACAACTGTCATCACAAACTGATACCTTCTCAACACCTTGGTTGCAAGCATAAACCAGAGCATCTGCTAATGTAAGCCTACCTTCTGCATCAGTGTTATTAACCTGCAATCAACATGGTGAGCAACAAGTTACTTATTAGAGGCAATGACGAAAGTACTCAATCATACATGTCACAATACCATATAGTTCATGATACCTCGATTGTTTTTCCATTTGAAGCTGTGACGATATCTCCAGGCCTCATACCTGTTCCACTGATCATGTTTTCACAAGATGCAACAATAAAATGAACCTGCGTGGCAGGAGAATTTATGAAGTGACAGGTCACAGACTATATTCGATGCAGAAATCAGAGAAGGCAAACAAATATAAACTAGTATATAAAACACAATAAGGAAAGAATACTCATCCTTTCCCCAGCCTTGAAAATATAATCTTGAAAAAGATGCATAGAGGTAGATCAACATTAGAAGAATGAGAGCAAACAAATGAATTACCTCTACTCCAGGAGGTTTAATTTGTCCAAGGGCCTTTGATGCACCCAAAACAGCTGCAGAACCTCCCATGTCTACTTTCATGGTTTCAATCGAGCAACCAGGTCCGGTCTTGATATTGTAACCACCACTAAAAACATAGAAGACAAGTATTAAAAAATACGGATATCTCCTATGGAAGCTGAATCATAAAGGCTTTGCTTGGTATAGAGGATGAAAATGAGCAAGGATAGAAAATTTGTTAATCAAAAGGTTTAGATCCGTAACACTTTCTTACTTTGAATCTTAACAAATTTTCCACCCTTCATACCAAACAAAGCTAAAATATCCTCCTGTCAGAATATGTCGATATCTACTTATGAACTTACCTGTCAAAAGTCAATCCTTTTCCGACTAATGCTAACTTGGTTTTGGTAGGTCCACTCAGGGGTTTGTAGCACAAATGGATGAAATGAGGAGGATTTGCAGATGCTGCAGCAACTCCGAGATAAGATCCCATCTTCAACTCTTTGCATTGCTCTTCTGTCAATATGTTTGCAGACAGAACCTCACTGTACATAGAAGCAATTTTTGAGGCCTCTCAGCTAGTGCAGCTGCAGGCATGGAAAGGCACATTAGTTCAAGTTTTACAAAATTTCTCATCTTTTTATTACCCCGTTAAAACTATATACTCTGTCACTGGCAAGTTAGAAATCCAACCTTCTCATTACAATTAACTGCAAAAAGAAATGATTATCTAAAAAAATACAAGAATAATGCTTGTACTAACCAGGGGTAAGCACATTCGCCGGTGAATTCACAAGCTCTCTTCCAAATAGTATAGCATAAGAAACAACTTCAGCATGCTTGAGCTTCTTCTCAATCTCTGGTCCAATTCCAAGATCAATAATATCCACATATTTAAGCTGTGATTTCTTTGACTCGGATTTGTATCTATTATCGTCACATGTTCCCAGCACCGTCCCTATGGGAATGCAAACCATTCAACTAAGATAAACTCCAATCTTCGGAATAAGAACATAGATCATGATACTAAAGAATCATAGGAGCATTATTACCAGATGCTATGGCCGAAGCAGTATTGCTCTTCGACTCAGTGGAGAGGCCTTCTGAAAAGGCAAGGACGACGGCAACACTACTGGCTTGAGCAGTCTTTGCAGCTGCAGCAACAGCCTCACCAAGCCCACAAAAAGCAGCCGGGGATGAAGCCGACTGTCCAAGGCCAAACAAACCAACCCTTTTGGAGGCAAGGCCTGGAAGCCTATGAACCATGGACCGGCCAGTTTTCCCTGTGAAATCCTCCTCAGAAGAGGCCTCCCCTAAGAAACCACCCAACAGGTCATCTAATTTTTTCAAAAGTGAGTTCTGAAACTTGGAGTTTTCATCCTTGATCATGTCTTTCTCAGTGACCCCAACTGCAATCAGGTCCCCTTTCCATTCTGCCACATCGATCTCTTTTGCAGCAAAAGAGATCTTTCAAGCATTTTCACAAACATTAGACTAACAAAAAAATTTAGCTAATCTTTACTTCTGTATTTCAGAATTAATCCTGCACTCACTCAATCCAATAACATGCACATAAAAATATCAACTTTTAGAAACCCTTAGAAAGAATCAATATACAAATTATTTCCAAACAATCAGACAAGAAGTAAACTTTTTCCGACATTCAAAAATTTCAATCTAAACCCCAAAAGGTCAACAAAAAAGGGATATTTCACCTTGGGGTGTTCGATGTTTGCCGGCTGAGTAAGGCCAAGAGTGTGTGCCATGGAGAACACAAAAGGAACAAGCGGCAACAAATTAAAAAAATAAAAGCCCAGATGAAGACTGTAAGCAGCTGAAACTCAAAGGAATTCAAGGAGAAGAGTGAGAAATAAGATCAAGCTAAAAGAGAATGAACCAAAGACGCAACAATGGCGACACTGACAACCATTTTTGCAGTATTCCCAAGTACAACGAAACTTGTCAAAAAGCTAAAGCATTTCTAAGCTGACTATGACGAATGATCGGTGCATCGACAACGACAACGACAGCTTTCTCTAGAACATCGCATCGCATTTATACCGTAAT